TCTTTACTGGTTCGTAACCCCTTAATATAAAAAATCCACATCACCACTTTGTGATATGTCGTAGAGCAAAAAATTTTACACAAAATGTGTTTCTTTTTTTTTGTTAAATTCAAAAACTTTTTTTTATACCTCTTTAAACCACGTTTTCAGTTTATCTCTACAACTTCTTACCAGAATTAAACCGTCGATATGCTTTCAAAAGCAGACAACATGACAAATGTAGTGAGCTAAAAGCCTCCAAATTTTATCGAAGTTTAACTGAATCCAAGTTTTTGAAAATACGTCTGTGGATTAGTGACCTGGTAAACTATGCAGCTCTGAGAGGTTTAACTTAACAAAAAAATTCACTTTTTGACGTTTTCTCTTCAGCGTTCTGTGTGCTCGTCTCAACTCTACTAATCAGCAAAGCCTGAAAAAATTTTACAATGTCAAGTAAAAGTGTGCGGAAAGTTCGTGAGTGGCCCACTATATGTAATCAATGTTTTATTGATTCAATCACTCAAGTTTAGGTTTGTGGTTTGATCTCTAGTTCCTGAGTGTGTAAAATTTAAGATGATAAAGAGGGTTTTGGACGCGTACTAATAATACTAACATATGTCTCTAAAACAAGAGGAAGGTGCGTACATTATACTAGACAAACTAAAATACTGCGGTCAGTAACAATCACGTCGTTAAAGTGGACAAAAAGGAAAGTGCTTAACCAACAGTCTAATATTGTGAGACTCAGTTTTGCTGTATAAATATGTCTTGTTTTCTCCTATTACATTAAATTAAAGCGTATCTAGTAACCTTTTTAAATTATCACTCGTCCTCTGTCACAAACAGCAGCTTATAGTGATTTACAATTTAGCTTGGCATGATAAGCATTGTAAGCATCAGTGGGAGACAACTTACGATTCTTATGATGGGAACACGAATGTAGAGAAATGCACCCTCTGCTAAGAGAAGCTTAAGCCCTAAGTTTCCATCTGCTCTCCTGTGTCTTCCTCAGCAGAAAGTAAAGACAGGAAATAATTGCACCTGTTGTTACAACTGTCAAGCATATTTTATTCTTGAAACTTCTTGAAAAGATCTAAAAGCTACTAGCCAAATTTTCCTTTTACTGACAGCGGTTCTTAGACCTACAAAGAAAAAGACTTTGTATTTGCTCAACGACCCGAGGTATTATCCCCAATTTTGCCAGAAGAACCATGAAAAGTACACAGTATTTAAGATTTATCAGATTTTTTGAATTAGATCTGAAATTCCAGTCTGTTTATAACATTTTAAAAGTGGAATCAAACTGCCTTAAAACTCAGTGACAGACTTTATGCCACAAGGAAATCATTTCATTTTAGGTTATTAAATTACTGAATATGGGATATTGCAGCTAACACTGGGACTTTCCAACAGAAATCTGTTTTGTTCGTTGTATCATCGTAAAAAGGAACTCGGCGCATTCGATTCTCGTATGAGTTGTGGACCGGATAACGAAGATATTTAAATCCGCCTAACGGAAATTTTTTAGATTAAAGATCCTGATTTTTTAAATTGACATTACACTTACTGTAGCTGTGATTCGGATGGGTTGTTACGCCCCATAGACCGCAAGAGACACTATCACATTTGTTAAATACTTCATCAACATCTTTTTTTGACGAGTTATTAGGCGAAATTCTCCGTATCCGGGCACTATTATCAAGCTGCCAATCACTTCGTGGGCTCCTGTTACGACTGATAATGTTTTGATCATTGTTAGAGTTCACTAAAAAAACAAATTTTTTACTTTTTGAAGCGAATTCAAATATTTTAGGTTAATTGTAGCTAAATTTTGTTAGCTTTTATTGTAATAACTTATGTCAACAATTTTTGAACTGTCTAAAAATACACTTCTATTTTGAAGAACGATACCTGTATGCTCAGAAAAAGAGCTAAGCATTTCTGAAGCTAAATAATCGTAAATATAAGCATACAAGCTACCAGAAACAGAGCAGTGTGGCGCCGCAGTGCTACGCCTACTATATTCTAACGTGTCTTTGTACAGCAACATTAACAGCAGTTAGTTTTCGAAATTTGAAACGAAGAACAAATATCGATTTCTCTTGAGTTGCCACATCAAAATATATCTTTCCGAAATCAATGTCTCCTAACGCTCTACCATGGAGACACTGGTTAAACCAAAAATACACAAGAAACTACAAAGCGTTTCTTACAGAGGATGATCGCTGACAATCGCGCTAATACCAAAATGCGCGACTCTGGGAAAAATGCTCACATTTGTAAAACTAGAAATTAACATCATCATGATGCGCTGTAATTCTACAATTCTGATCTGTTCACAATACTGATCCTGAAACGGCTACTGGAATGCTCCAAAAATAAGCGATCCAAATACATTAGCTCACTTGAGGAGAAATGAGATGAGACAGTCTACCGATTAGTTTTTGCACAAATCTGTATTTCATTTGAAAGTCTGTATTAAAATTCCAAAGGGTTCTTCTGTCTGTCCAGAACCCTCACTATCGGAACCAGCTTTAACTCGTTAGAAATCTTTAAGAATGAACTATCTAAATATGCCAATTTCCTTAAAAAAAGTCGAACGTTACTTTTTTTGTCAAAAACCCACCTGAATTTTTTATATTTAGAAACTAAAAATGAACTCGTTTCATATCACTTAATGTCAAGAAATCCTATGCAAGTCTTTGTTTTTTACGGACTTAGTTGTCCTTTCAACACACATTTTTTCACACGCTGAAACGCTCAGTTTTATGTGCAAAAAAGCGTCTTGCACTTGCACTTCCGCGTATCACTAAGCAAAAAGACTTTGGTTAACATTTTGTATTTTTATTTGACTCTGATTGATTTTTTAAAATTCTATTTGCAGTTATTTTACTTTCTATTTTTCAGTCCCACTTTACTGCTTTCAAAAGACTTATGTACCTAAAATTCTGGCTATTAGTGAGTAAGTTTGTTTCTTTTTCTTCTTTACTAGACGTAATTTTTCAAAACAAGATTCACCTAGCCTTTTAGTCTTGTTTTGTTCGCCATGTTTTTCAGTACCTTGGTGCACTCAACACAACAAGTTAGAGCCAGTTGCTTTATTAAAAAACAGCGTCTTTCTACTTCAAACTCCAAATCATTTTCTGTAGTACAAATTTTTTCAACTTTCTTCCTCTTCAATTTCTAGAAAGAAGGCACCAAAATGAAAAGATCAATAAATAAAGCTTACTTTCAACAAGAACAAGTGCTTACTAATTCAAATAATAGACCAATAACCCAGAAAAATCTCTCAGTGATTTTCACTCTCTATTCCGTGTCGTAATGCCCCATATAACTCCTACTTGAGGTTGTTCATGAAGCACATAAATAAAAAACAAAAAGAGCGACCTAAATTAGGATCACAACGAGAAAATTAATACGTTTGTATATAACAGTTGCAAAATCCACATATTCCAAAAAATTTGTGAACTTAAGATGGGTTCCTACACAGAAGACCAGTTTCAAATAAGAATAAGCAATATAAAATTTTTTTTTAACGGCCTATTTTAATTCTCAAATGCATGAAGTTACAGACACAAGCAAGTATGAGACCCCCAAAAGACAAAATCTTTTTGACCTCTCAATTTGTTAAGTTTATAACCACTATCTCTTTAAGCGTTTTTTGTATTTCAACCCTTAAGTCTTCAAGTTTATCGCTCATAGGAGTGTTTTAACTTGCACTCACTTCTATTATTGAAAACTCGTTCTGACACTTTTGGCTTTTTCTGTTTGTTATATTAGTAGCAGTATGTAGGACAGTAACAAACCCTTAGCAACTTTTTTCGACTGGATCTACTCTAAAAAAAACCGTTCTCATTATTTATTTCTTATTTTAATATTTCGGGGCTCCTACTGAATAAGAGAGCTCGTACGTCGATTCGTCAGGAGTCTCACCCGTCGTTTTATACAGCCATTTTCTTGTTCATCATGAGGATCATCAGCATCATTGAGCTTCCCTTATCACAGTCAACAGTGCGCACAGACTTGTCGTAGCAGAAAACAAGTGGTCCTCATAAAACATTAAAGACTACATAGAATTAAGATCCATGTGAAAGAACGGGTTTGCGACTGGTAATGTACGTGCCGGGGTAAATTGTGCGTACAAAATGAGCTATGAAAGATTAAAGGTTCCAAGTTCAAGCAAATTGTTCTAGAACTACTTGTACTATTAGAATGTTCAAAAACTAGTTATCTAAACATATAACTAAACTTCTAAAAATTTTTCAATTTTTCAAAAAGTTAGTTCCAAAGCCAGCTTACGAACATCAGAATAGTCTAAGAATTAATATTTAGTTGCACTAGGCTTAAGAAAAGCAACCATCTTGTAGCCAAAAGCAGACGGAAAGGCCAACTAACGAAAACAGAAGGTTAAAAGGTATAAATAAACCAAACGACCCACGTCCCATGGTATAGTTCAAGCAAATCCCATAACTAACAAAGGTGAAAGCTGGATTACAAAAGCCCTACCGACAATTATAAGCGAGACTGAATTGTAACTGTAAATCTGCTTCTGAAAAATTCTAACTGCAAACCTTAAAGCGTCGGCGTAAAGATTGATAATAACCTATATGACCAGGTCGGATAACTAACCTAGTGAAGAAAACATACAGAAAACTCTTCAAAACAGCCCTGACTCCTTACTTAGAAAAAGCTGTATTAGGTATCTTGAAAAACTGGTAAAGACGGTATCTTGGATAACGCGGAAAGCCGTCCTCAATAACTGTTTTCGCCAAAATAAACCTTGAACAATTTTTGATCCTTGAAGCAGCTGGAATACACAAACAACCTGACTCTAAAGAGAACACAGCTTAATTAAACAATTTCAAGAGCGCCTTTATTATTTCAATAGCAGGTCAGAAACAGAACAGACGTAGGAGAATCCAACTTTTACTTTGAGCAACGACTGCGAGGTACCACTCAATGAGTCCAAGAGTACAGCCAAAAAACTACGCAGGAACTTTGAATTAAGAGCGGCATTACAGCCGAACAACTTAAGCGCAGCATAACCGAGGTGGTCCCGCACCAAGACAACCAGTATCCAGTGGATTATATGCCATATCAACTAGAAGAGCGAAAAGACCAAGCAACTACAAAAATCAGGATCGTGTTTGATGCCGCCTCTAGGCAAAACGGAAAACTTTTCCTCGCCGAAGTGCTACTTGGAAGACCAATACTACTGCTCCTCATAACAAGCATTCTACTCCGATTTCGCTGTTACAGCACTGTGGTTGTTGAAGATACCAAAAAAGCATCTCTAAACATTGACCTGCGTAGCAGGACCGAGACATCACAAATCTCTAAATAAAGAATACTAAAAACCAGAAACACCTGACTATATTCTCCTTAGAGTCATAAGCAATTCTTTCATCCTTACGAAAGTTATTAATACCCATCTCAAAAGATATCCAAGCTCGCTAACTGAGGAACTCATTAGGAATACTTATGCTGACAATATTCTACTTTATGCTAATTCTGCAAACAAAGTAGAAGAGAAAGCTTAAAGAGCGAAACATCTATTCACTCTTGCAGGTATGAACCTACAAGCATATATTTCTAACAATTTTCTGGTACAAGCGTACCTCAAAAAATATGTAATAGCGAACACAGCGAACACTACCAGTCAAAAATTTTTTGGCGTTCCTCAAAACGCGAAAAAATTACACTGACAATCACCTTGCCATCCAAAAAATCAGAACAACCATTATAAAAAACAATAGCTCCAGAAATTTATTACTCAAATATGCAATCCACCAAGTCTTATAACACCCGTCACACTGCAAGCAAAAATTTCGCTGCGAAAACTGTGGGACAAACAGAAGTCAACTATAAACTGACTCAAACTCATCCTAACGGACTAGACTGACCTACAGTTCGTCCCACCGCGAAAGATTTCGGGAACAGCTAAAATGAATAAATTCACTACGAAACTACACGCCTTTCTGGACGCATCAAAGTACGCCTATACAGCGACAGTGTATTTAAAATTAGGAAAAGAAGCCTCCTAGTCAGAAACGCTCATCATGATAGAAGGTCGACTGTGCCGTATAACGGGAATGTCTTTTCCAAAACTTGAGCGGTAGCAGCCTTAATTAAGACACGACTATTAAAATTTGTGAAATAGCAAGTAAACCTCGACATACAGATTTATCTGTGGTCGACTTGCAACAATCACTTACGTGGATACGAACGAATAAAAACCATCAAGGTTTGTATCTAATCGAATCAAGGAAATCAGAGAAAACGCTCCTATACTCCACTAAGTATTAGTTGTCAAAAATCCCGCTGACACAGCTTTTTGATAAACTACATTTAGCACTCTAAAAAATAATAGTGACATAAACTGTGGCATAAACTTCTGTTTTCGAAAAAACCCTCAAACAATTGGCCCATATAAACTCAAAAAAAACGTACGCGACGCAGCATCTATGAACCATGTGGCGGTGACAAAAATTGACAAAGAAACACCATTCCGTTTCAAAAAAATTCAAGTTGTGAACAGATTCGTTTGTGCGTTCGCATAAAGTTTATGATTTACCAATGACTGCTTATGTCATCTACTACCTCGCCGCTAAACGGCTAGATTCCTCCGAAATCTCGAAGCAAAGACAAAGTTCTACAAACCATTCAACGAGAATTTTATGAGGAAATACGAAATACGCTGAACAACCAAATCCAGACGCTCTGTACCGCTGCAGCAAAAAAATATAAAAAGTACCCTCTACACCCCAACGCAATGTTGGAACGAATCTATACTCAATGCCGATTCAACAGTGAAACATTGTGGAAATCTCTAAACACTAACTGCCGCACTCCAAAACTACTGAATCCCTGAAGGCAGAATAAAAGTTAAAACAAGCATCAATTTACGCTGTTTGAGTTGTTGCAAATGGAAAGCCATGCCATTTAGAATTCACAAATGTCTGGACTGCAGCCAGAAACAGTAATACCATCACGACCAGTCCAAGACGTCAGAGTCAATTACGCCAGTACCGACTAGAATTCTGAAACCGGGGAAACGTTTTTGATAGCGTTTCCTCGACGCGACCCTGTGGGAAATCTCCTTATTTCTCTTTGCTTTGTGCTAAGAAGTAATTAGTCGCTTACTGTCCCACAAGACCGTATCACGTTAGAAGACTGAAATCACTATAAATCAGACTGAGATTACTTTGTATCTACTCAAAGTGGCACTGCTTAATTTGAGGACTTCCAGCTACACCTTCTATCCAGATAAATCTGCTTATTGATGATCCCTGAGTCCACTCTCTGCTCTAGTGGAGCAATGCTTAAACTAGCTTAAGCTTAGGATCTGACCACGTCTTTGCGTTTCAAAGGCAATTCTTTTACTTATTTATTGAAATTAACTATTTCGGCACTGAAATAAAAGCGACCAGCTGTACCAATCAATCAGTAAACATTCAAGAAGAATCTAATAAAACCAATGCAACAAATAATACAAAGTTAAAACTTAGCATGAAACCACGAAAAAGATGAGTCTTACGAAACAAATACGGTATTTACCGCACTTAAGATATGCCACCGTAACTTTTAATGGAAAATTTGACGGTAAATTAAATTTTTTCGACTCCATCCGGCTGACGCTGCTTCTCCTCTTGGCGAAGATTGGCATTACCTTCTCACTAGCCTCCAAAATCATCCCTTTCGGTTCAGCCCAAAATGCACGTCTCAAAAGGGGCGGTCCTTTCGCGCGTAGTTGCGAAAATCCCTTAATTGTTCAAACTGATGATAGACATCACAAAGTTTGGATTTTTTTTTACCCGCTTAACGACTAGACCACTCCCTCTCAAAACGGTACAAAACCTTTCAATCGACACGTTTATAAATACTTTTAAAAAGTTCTGCGCAAGAAGAGAGTGCCCGGAAAAGATGATCTCTGATGATGCCACAGCGTTTAAGGCTGCATCAGATGTACTTAGTATGGCACGCACATAAACCGCACAAGAATTTTGGAGCTCTTACACTTTTACGGTCCCTTATATATTGTTTAGGAATGGGCCGTTGTCGCAGTTTTAAGCAGCCGTAGAGACATGTCGATCATGCCAACCTCAACTTCGGAACTGCAAAGTCCCGTTCTCTTAAAAAAATGTAGTGCTCTGCAGTTGAAGATTTATAAACAACAGTGAAGCATTACAGACAGGTCTGACATTTTGTACGAACGTGAAGGCAAAGCGGTTGGCAGAGCGGAGTATGTAACAGCAGTATAAGACGGCCGAGACGATGACGTCACGACAGTCGTGGAAAAAGTGTTTAATTACCCCCAAGTTTGAGGTAAGATAAGTGGCATAGTCAGCAATGAGAAATTATAGACGGGACTGACCTCTCACAGCAACCTGAGGGCAGACAGGCTGACGAGTTGCGACTCAATTAGCACCCCTCAAACGAAAGGCTTCTCAAAAATTGGATGGTCAGTTGCTGATTGATCAGGAGCCAATAAAAGGTCCCTACTTTTACACAGCGCCACGAGGAAG